TTTAAATACATTGTGATTTGACGGAATAACCAAATAATTTAATTTTAATTTAATACATAATTTGGTTCAATTTAGGTACATTGCTGGTACTGTAATGACCAAAAATGTGGATACTAACACCCCTCGCCTTCAGGGGCCCATAAACCAAGGCAATCAATCATATATTTCTAACGGAAATCATACGACCTAAAACTCGTACTTATGTATGCCTACTTGCTGTTGGTCACACTTATACGAACAATTTCACATCGAGTCACAGATACGGACTGAAATCACAGATTACACATCAACAGTGCATTGCACCCTGGCACGTGAGGGTGTGCATCGAGATGTGTCCTTATGACGTCACCACTAACTAAAACGACCGGCAACCGCCGCCCTTTATAGTCCATTTCAAGAGGTTCGGGTTTGACGAGATTTTCTCTGATCTTGTAGCTTGCACACACACACAGAAACTAACACACGTAGGGCTAGGTTGAGACTACAAGCCTCCCGTCGGTGGAGTCACCCAGCTCTCTTACTCCTTGCTGTAGCAGGGCCGACCGTTCCCATGGCAACCCACGTGGTCGGGTCCAATCCAACAGCACCAAGGAGGACGCCCCCCCAACAGAACATACTCCAATTCATATCGGGCTCACGATTGCAGACCAGCATAACAAAATCTAAATATACTGGCATGTTTCCGAATGAGGACCCCATATTTTTACGATCTTTTTTGACACGTCCCGTGAGCGCTCTCGGCTGACGTACAAAGTCACCAACACACAAGACTGACGCACACAGAACCTCCAAGGTAGGCGATGTGACTTCGGAGTACTTTTTACAAGATTTACTGCTGTATTTTTAAAAACTTCTGTACACAATTAAAATCAGATGAAATTCTGGGCGTGTTTTATACCTTAGTTCAGGAAGTTTTATCTTTCCGCGTCCTGTCTAAAAGCCGAAAGCTCCAAACATACGAAACCGGTTTTTTATCTGTTGTCATTTGTCATATATAATTACGGAACGTAATCTCTCGCTTACGGAAATAACACATATTGACTGTGTTACAGAGCAGAATATTGAGAATATCTGGACCTAAATGTAACAAAAGAGTGGAGAACATTTCATCAATTCCGCACACACATATAAAAATAGCATCACGACTTAAATACTATAATTCTACAGTTTTGCCACTACAAATTTTGAACACCTAAACATAACGAGTAATGCCTAGTTGAGACAAACGAATTTAAGTGCGGGTGAAAACATGAACGAACGTTGAAAGACCTAGAAAGGGACTGTGAAGTGTAAGGAGAGGTTCTTCAAGATGTCTTCGGTTGCTACTTGGAACAAAGTTCGGTGGAACGGACGATTTTTACACATATTTCTGAGTGAAGAAATAAGAAAACTACAGAAAACTTTCACGGAAGATTCAGGATTCATCAGTATTGCGTAATGCAAGGCGGTCTGCCTAGTGCTGACCGGATATAACTGTTTAGGAGACGTCAGAAATAGTTTTAACAGATATGTGATACGAAACAATGTTCACTGAAAGGAGCAGTAAAGACTTACGACTTTAATTTTGGTTTTTATCAACAGTTGTGCTAATTATTGTTCTTACCAGGGGACAAGCTAAGCGACTATCAGCTTCTCGCGTAGGACCCTGCTCCATGTATTTTATTACATCTTGCTAAACAGAGTGCCGAGCCTGAGAGTCTTTCATGAACGGAATACATGTGCTCGACACGTACGGACTAAGGTAATTCCTTAGCAAGTTTTTAGCTGCTCGTATTTGGGAGGTCCTGGGTTCAAATATCGGCCTGCAGAATATCAGTAAAGGTTCTGTGGTTTCACTGTCTCTCAGAACAAACAATGGACTCTGAAATAAGTCATCATTCACAAGGATACTTCCATTCAATAATCTATGCAGCTGAAAAAGAATACGTATCATGTACATGAACTAAGAAGAAATTATGGAAGTCAAAGGGTAATTAATAAAATTCAGCCACGCTTAATTTAAGCTTCAATCCCAAAACTGTATTTCTAACTGCAATTCCAATCCACATTTTCTTCCATGACATTGTAGCAGTCAGATACAATCTACCGAAACAAAGGAAAGGCGCATTTGGCTAGTATTGGATGGCCCCAATATCAACCCACTCACGTTTTGAGAAACAAACAGAGACAAAGGAAGTTCGCGGTGATGGATGGAAAACTGATGGGGGCCAGCCTTCACCTTGAAGGGTCTTAAAAATACAAACATCCATTCCGAGTTTCGACAGGCCTTATGGCCGTCTTCCTCGATTGTCTGATCGATGCGAAGTTTGTATATCTACTGCTAAGGTCATTTAGCACAGACATATAGCTGCATGATATAGGCGGCAAATATATTTCATTATGCGCGAGATAACAAAGAGACCGTTTCATTAACACGTCACATATCTACAAAAACACAGCTCTTGTTTAAACATAATAAACCAACAAAAACACAAATGAATCTCCTTCCTTCAGTCCCCACGTATTTGTAGGATTCCAGGGATACGTTCATGCATAGACAGTTTACTTTATAGCAGTAATGGAAAACACGTTGCAGATATTAAATAACTCTTTACTCTAGGAGTGTTATCACCTATGATTAATTCTCTTATCTTATGAACCGCATATAAGAAAATAGACCGATTTAAGCTTCTCGAAAAGAACGACGATCACTATCAAAATAAAGCCAACTCTGACAACATACGTGAATGAATAGCGATAAAGATTAGACATGAAGACGGACCGACAGGCGATGATTTTGTAAACTTCCATACTAAGAACGCATACAAACACTTCTACAGAGCCCATGGGGCCATCAATACAGAAACGAGAATACAAGCAAAGCAAATAATGCGACGATTGAATTGTATTATACTATAGTCAACCGACTGAGACAACCACAGATGGTCGAAGGAACAGATAAGCACTTCATAGCTCAGCTTTACTTTATCTGCAGACTCGACATGATTCCCATACGACGTCTGTTACTGACTGAATCGGAAGAAATCGCAAGCCTTCCATAATCTATAATCTCTCCTCGACACTGTGCGTTACTTCAATCCAAAGTTTCTTCCAACAAAAGCAGACGACCTTTAATACGATAGAACTGAAACATACAAATATTTAATTTCTGTTACAAGGAGCATGCTGGGAGCTTGTGTTTAAATCCTGTTCGGTCAAAGGTTGTTTTACTGTCTGTGCTGTCTTGTGATAAAGATATCTTGCAATCAGCCAATCGCCCATCCAAGGAGTAAATACCGGGTAACAGAATTAATTCTGAGGTATAACAGGTCACAGAGAATCATCACATTTTAATTACCAAATTATTTCCGTAAAGCAGTCATCCAAGCAGGAAGATGTACACCTGTTAACAATGACGTGTCGAAGAGATGTATTAAGGGCAAAGTCGCGAGGTCTCGGACCGAGGATCGAACTTTGTAGGATACTAAGCATTACTCCTCAGCGATCGACCAATTCCTCGAGGAAGTAAAGTAAATTATGGCAAGGATGATCATCGCTGAACCGGCGCAACCGATCGACCACAGCGATATTTAAAATTCTGTTTACAATGCATGGGCGTTCAGGGTAGCTGGAGCAGCAGCGAATAACGTTCAATCTTGCACATTGATAAATGAATTTCGATAAGAAAGTTTTGGACATCTATCTTATTCCTGTCTTACTGCTCCGCATGTATTTATCACAAAAAGAAATCAACCGTATTTCTATATGTACTAGTACGTAAAAGTGTGTTCTCCTCTCCTATATAATTTACTAAGTGGCTTCCTTCGCCATTTGTCGACGTCCTTAGTTTAACAGCTTCGAGTGAGATGATAACTGTGTATAATAACTTGAAAAGAATGTGAAGGAAAATGGTAGTGGCCTGTTTTAAGGTTCCAACTCAGAATGAATCTGGAAGAACTACAGAAAACCAATAAAACCTCCAGACTATCGGCTTCCGCCGCCGAAAACAGAACCAGGGACCTCCCATAATGGAGTTATTATTTAGTGTGCTGTCTGACGACAGGTCCATATGAACAGGATCCTTCCATCCTTTTCTCGGACTGGGACCTGTTCATATACGTTCTTGGCAGATGATCCAGAAGTGGTTTGCCATTGCCTTCTTCTGGGTGTGAATGGAGTAATTGTTGGGATGCCAATGAGGAAAACTCCGTGTTGCCTAGGCCACGGCCTGGCCCAACACAAGTTAAAAATTCGGGCACCGCCGGGAATCGAACCCGAGACCCCAGGATTACAAGGCCAGCGTTCTAACCGCTAGACCACCGTGGCGGTCATAATGGAGTGCCAACAAATAAACCGGGAAGTACAATGACAAAGTATGGAAGGGGGAAGAGGGAAAGACTGGGGTCAACTGTTGGTGGATAACCATAGGATGTTTTCAACTTAAAGTTATAATCATGATAGTCCAGCTTCTGAAGTAGGAAAGTTACCACACAGCAGATGATCGGATAACACCCGGCGCCCAAAGAAATGCTTCGCCGAGTGACCAGTTTCTTACTGGGTCTCGTTATCATCAGCGAAAAACGAAATATAAACAAGCAAGTGTATTCCAATGGACTACGCATACAGATCGAGGTCATTTAATTATACTATACCAACAGAAGATGTTATTTAGCGTCGAATGACACCAAAGGATCACGTTCGGCGACCTCCAAAGAACTGATACGAAAACAGTCGCGCGCTTACCTGTTTGAAAGTATAGTATCCCGGAATTCTGAACCGAATACAAACCAGAAGCATTACGGCTTCACCTGCTGGGTGGGTTTCGTAGTTATTTTCTCGTGAACAAACTTGGCAACACTTGCGAAATGCAACTCACACTTCGCGGCTTTCATTGTATATTTATTTTTTGTATCCTTCCACGTATCCCCCATCCAAAAAGTTAACAGTTCTTGCCGCAAGTACTCATTCTCCTGCAGACGATTCAGAAAACACAACAGCCCGAAAGCACAGATGAACAGAATTCCAATTATGCGTATCTATAGCAGGGATAGACAGAATATGGCACGCAGCGATGTTCAGTACAAAATAATAAGATCGTTTATAATTCCGTTTACATTTTGATAGAACATGAAGCATTGTAATCTTAAAAATAAATAAATAAACAAATGCGTATCTGCTATACCCGGCACCATGTATGAGGCAGTAGAACGCTTGTCCATGCGTGCATTTGTATGTTTTAAGTTTTTAACGTCTTTCGTATTCAGGAGACCCCAAGGTTAAAATCTCGGCCCAGAAATCTGCCATTATGACGGAACGTTTCGGTGGTTTTACATCGTCTCTCCAGACAAATGCCTATATAAAACCTTAAACAGACACGGAACTTTCTACCACATTGTTTAAAATTCACCATGCGCAAACAACCTACCATTCGAGGCTACATAACTTACGTAGTTGAAAATTATCATTAGATAAACCAAGAATCATCCATCAACAATTTCTCAATTACAATTCTTTCTTCTCGCGAGGCACTCCGGTCCGAGGGCATTTTGGAATGGCATCATCTGGCACAAAAAGGAAGCAACTACTAACCCCTAATGTGAGGGGTTAGGCAGGCCTAAGTGACAAAGGTAGCAGAACAATACTGAGATCCTTCAATCCACGTGAAAATATAGTATTAGCGCAATGCGATACTGCTGTACAGGCTTATAAATACCTTTATTCGAGTTCAAGTCGCAAGAAACAGAGAGGCTCTTATACGAC